TCGCCTCGTTGCTGTGGAACAATAATATAAATGGCTCGACAAACGCCGCTTTTATCCTTTGAAACTTAGCAGCACCATGGCATTTGGAGGTGCTATGTAGCTCACGCATAATAAAGTGAGCGGACGAAGTCGAATTCGTGTAGTGTGCGAGACGTATTTCAACATGTGGCGTAATGGCGTCAGCTTCTTTGGAAGAGGGATTTTAAGTCGGCGACGGCTTACCTTCATTGTCGGGGTCATTAGTATTCCTTTCGCAGGGTGTTTGCTGCTATTGTTTTCCTCTAAAAATGGAGGTTTTCAGCGTCGTGTTAGTACTACTCCGTGCAATTGTCCATGTGCGAGAAGTCAACAATTAGAACCGAAAGCGAACGTTGAAAAACCTATAGCGGACGAACAAAATGCATTGTCAACGTTTACACGGGAACTGAATAGTGGATATGTCCCTTCGACTATTGGCTCTCTGAATCTTCATATTTGGTCTGGGGTATGCGGCACGAAAGTCGATAATTTACGAAAGTGGCCTCATTTTCCTTATCACCCACACAGGCGCTTATCTGTATCTGCATTTCATTTTACTGAAAATCCCGCTTCACAATCCACCGGATATAGATTCTTTGGATTCGTCCATCCGAGGGAAAGCGGCGTGTACAAGTTTGCCATATCATCCGATGACACTTCTGAATTATGGTTGAGTGCAAATGAGGACCCTGCTTCAAGTAAGTTGATTGCTCGTGTTTATTCTCCCACAGAATCTGCTTGGACTTCAGATGGAGACTACAAAAAGTATGCGGAGCAAATATCTAAGGAGGTCACCCTTCACACCGGTAAAAAATATTACATTGAGTCTTTACTTAAACAGGAAGCTGGGGCAGTTCATTTGGCTGTGTATTGGTCTCGTAATTCAAAGTTTGAAATTATAACCTCGGATTACTTGACGAGCTTTGTTGAACATAGCTTTGATGATATTCCCCTACACGCGGGTAAACAAAATAGCTTGATACTCGAAAACAAAAGGAAGTTATTTTACTTTCATCGTCTTCCTCTCATTGACCGCGCTCAATTTAGTGGCGTTTTGCCGACCTGTTCTTATAGCCCGAGCTTTCTGGTGCGTGAGAAACTAGTGAAGTACCAAAGTGTTTGGTTGCAACGTGAGTCAAACGTGTACCCGCAAGATGATTCGGTAATGACTAAGGCAGCCTTGACTAACGAATGGACGCATACTAATAAAGTTGCAAAGAAGGATCGAGTAATAGCTGTCGTAGACGAGTTGATGAAATCTTTACCGTCCGGGTAAGTTAACCGTATTTTAACTTGTTTGTAGTAGTATCGGTTGTTTGGTGCAGAGTCACCTCAATATTCGACATTTGGGAATAGATAAGTAGCTTGCTCTTGGCAACCAAAGACACCATTTTATAACGGATGATTGTGTATAACCCCAAGGGACAAATTTGGAAGCAAGTACGCGGATCGCAAAATGTTGACGCATATGTGAGTCAGAGCTCAGTTTCTCATACAGTCCTTTTAATATCGGTGGGCTGTGACATGAACCCTTTACACTCTTACATCAGAAAAGGTATTCTCCATACTATTCTCTATACATTTCCTAAGGTGCTAACAAGGAGAATTTGTGCAACAATCAACAGTTCCTTAGCTGCTGGTAATTTTCTTTGTTCTCGTGACTTTAATTTTTGATTCGGGGGTGATGTTGTCAGGCGAAATTAGATAAACGTGACTCTAAGGTTAAAGGGTTAATGGTGACATTTCGTCTTTTCGATGTGTTTTCCTCTTCTTTTTATGTCGACATTTCTATTTATTTAAAGAAGTTAACTACAAACTAATCGGCGATGTTTTTAGCTTTTCATTAATGTCTAGTAACAATATATGGACAAGTGAAAGTTCTCATGGCAACCAGGTTGATGCCACGAGAACTATTTGATGCTACTCTGCTTCAAAGATTAAATGAATGTAACCGAGAAGTCACAGTTCATAGACCCAACTTTTCGAAACTCCTGTCTAGTGCCTTCATCAGGGGTGATCTAGTCGCTGCAACAAGCGGTCCTTTGTCTTCCAGACAAAGGCGCTGGTGGTAACGTCAAATAGTGGTGATTAGTTTAGACTTATCCCACCCAATTGTACGGTTGGTTGGGCATGTGTGCTCCGACAGAGCTGAATTTTCTTCTTTGCAAAAGAAGATCGCTTTTTGATGCTCTTCCAAACGTGCACCAAACTGACAATTGGTTAGTCCGATATACTCGTGATCAAAGTCATTGCACGGAATAGAATAAATAGCTTCGGTTCGTTTTTCTTTCGTGACAGGATTCTTTCGCAGGTAAATAATATTCACAATGTCTCACTCATGAGTTCTGAAGAGGGTGTGAATATCTCGAATGAATGAATTGAATGATTCTCTTTTTACTTTCGAAACACTTCAGATTCGAAATGAACTCCCCTAGAGGGCCACTACGCATCTTTATGTTTTTTTCATCAAAAAATGTCGCCACGATATCAACAAACTTAAATTCAATCGTAACACCAAATTTTCCAAACTTTCTTCGGAAAAGTGGTCGGCACTAAATTCGGCTCAAACGTCGCACTTCACATGTGCCGAATATAACTCAAGAATTAACTGCATGCATATGTGAAATTCGACGTTTAAATCAATTAAATTCGACAGTTTCGAATTAAATTCCACCTACTTATAATCTGCGATTAAAATAAGAGTTATATTCGGTACGTATGTAATGCGAATTTTTAACCGGGCCTAGGAAAACGCAAAGACACAGTATTTAAAGCGGCCGATAAAGGCGGCGCAGTCGTTGTTTGGTGAGTCGACCTCTACCAAAAAGATGCCTTGCGGCAACTTTCTGACACCTCCTTTTATGCAAAAGTTGACAAGATCTCACCTTCATCAACCAAAACATTGTCAAAAGCACGATTATCGATGTTATAGCTAAACAAGAGTTGCTGACCACTGCGAAAAAATCTCACCATCATCACTCCTAGAACTTCGTGTATTTACTTTTTACCTAAAATCCACGAACCTAACAACCCAAGTCGACCCATCGTTTCTGCGGTAACCAGTCAACTCGCCGACGGACCAACTCGCCGACGGACCAACTCGCCGACGGACCAACTCGCCGACGGACCAACTCGCCGACGCCAACTCGCCGACGTTTAAAATCGAGTAACAGCTTCAAACGCGAACGAGTTATTGTGTGACAACAACACTGTAAAGACTCATCATGACAATCGGTCAGATTTTTTAAGAAAACTTGGCTTTCTAGATAGGATCTTTAGTAAAAAAAGCAATTCTTTTTATTTGCAACAAAGTTTATAAGGATCTCAAGGCGAATAAAGTAAAGTAAACATCGCCAATGACTACATCCGCTTCAGACGCGAACGAGTTATCGTGAGACAACAACACCGTAAAGACTCATCATGTTAATCGCTCAGATTTTTTAACGAAAACTTGGCTTTCTAGACAAGATCTTTAGTAAAAAGCAATTCTTTTTATTTGCAACAAAGTTTATAAGGATCTCACGGCGAATAAAGCGACGTTAACATCGCCAATGAACAAAATTGGCTGTAGACGCCAATGAGTTGTGTGAGTCATCGGTGACGTTTACTTCGCTTTATTCGCCTTGAGATCCTTATAAACTTTGTTGCAAATAAAAAGAAATGCTTTTTACTAAAGATCTCGTCTAGAAATTTTTCTCTTGCGAACGCTGATCTATCCCGTGGAGTCAAGGAAGATCTCTATACCATGAATTGAAGAGAGAACAAGTCAAAAGTCTGATATAGTCTGATTTACCGAGAGGTTCTCTGAAGCGAACCGTGTAATCATTTGAATCTGTAATTGTCAAAACAACCATTTTGATTATGAAACTAATAAAAACGATTGAATGGCTAAGAAAAAATGAAGCGAATACAATTGCAGATAAAGCAAAGACAAAAGCCTGGAATGATTTAAAAGCACGATATCCAAATGCAGACCTGAGCAAGTTTAGTGCGCAAGTGTCGTTCGATGATAAAAGACACGCAACAACTGAAGTTTGCTTAAATCGATCAGATGGAGTTCAGTCGAGCGTCTCAAGATCAGACAGAAGATATTGCGATGTTGGCATGAAGAAGGCTCTTGGAATTGGAGGTTTTCCCCTCGAACTCACTCTGAATCGAATAGGAAAGAAGGAGGTCCCAGCAGTTTCATTTCATGAGAATGCAAATAGTCGTTTGCATGAGGAGATTGGGATCTTTGCTAGCCCAAATTAATACTTCAATGCAAATTTCAGAGGAATATTCACATGAACGAAAATTCAGCTTTCTTCAGGCGCAGAATCAGAGATGGCTCGTGATGCCAAATACGAGCTATTGGCCTCAACGGCTCAACTTTGCAGTATGGTGCGCAACGACAGGTTGCGGAATATCTCGTGGTTGAGGATGCGAACAGAAAGCCAAACATTTCGAAGAGCGTTCAGAGGTTTCGGCTTGCGATTGATGAGGCAAAAGTCTGACTTGATCTGGCAGTCTTACCAGGCACTTGGCTTATGCCCTCAAATCTTCTTAACAGACAGAGTACGGTCGGGTATAACAACAGCCTGATGAAGGCAACTGCTGAAACGAAGCTCGGAGTCAACAAATCAGCGAATTTGGAGATGAAATCAGTCGGAGTAAGGCACAAGAATGGGGGCTCATCAAAAATCAAGCCTTCAGCCCATCCGCGAGGCGGTCACCCTTCAATTAAAGTAATGCGACTTCAACTGAAATTCAGGTGAAGACAAAATCATCAACAGGTGAAAAGCGAAGCTCTTCTAGCGACAGCGAGACAAAGCATGATATGGTTGAGGTCGGATTGATTTCAGCTGGACTGGTCTCGGCCTTCTTGGTTCATCGCTTGTTCTTCTGAAAGCGCTCAACCATGAATATGGCGACTCCCAATTTCAGAGGCCATGCATTTTGTCCGAGGAAGCTGATCACTGATCCAGCAGTCTTGAAAATGAAGCCGACTATTGAACCGATGAGACCTGGGAGAATTCCTGCGATCTTACCTGCAAGAGTCTTGAGCCCTTCCCCAACTCCTTTGGCAACAGACTTCAGACCTCTTGTGAGTGCGCTCATATTCACTTCAATCGTTATTGCGACTGCCAGGACAACAGACTGTGAAACCATACTTATAATAATAATAATAATAATAATAATAATAATAATAATAATTTATTGACTTCCAAGGCGCAAATTCTATTTATATATATTCAAATGCGCCGCAATATACTAATTACAATAACTTAAAGATAAAATAAAAATAATAATGATAATGATAATTGGAATACAAAATAACAATTAAATGCGATTCATAATAAATAAGATATATAACATATAACTAATTATAACTTGAAATGTTCTATTTAAAACTTTATCAATGAATAAATAACCATGAAAACTTTATCAATTACAAAATTCTTTCTTAAAAAGAAACGTCTTAAGCTTCGATTTAAAACTATTAATAGAACTAGATTCTCTTATATCCCTTGGTAAATTATTCCATAGCTTAGGTGCCGCAAATATAAATGCCCGATCACCAATTGTTGCCTTAGACTTAAAACTAGGATAACTGAGTAAGGTCTTATCACTAGAATTCCTTAAATTATATCTTGACTCGGGCTTGCGTGTAATTAAAGAACTTAAATAAGACGGTGCTAAACCCTTAAAAATCTTAAAAACAATTAATATGATCTTAAACTCGATTCTTAACTCAATAGGTAACCAGTGCAACTCCATCTAGGTGACAATATTTATTCATTCCTCGCGCAAGTTAATTTGATATTCCGGGGCACCATACAATATACTATTGCAGTTGTAAATGCGATGTGGGGAATGGCACTCGCTCTCTCGCTCGCTCGATTGGTCGATTCCTGTAAACGTTTTTTCGATTTTAGGCTTTTGAGTGCATTTGATAGTTTTTGGCGAGCAATAAACAAACGAAATGGCGACCTTTGTTGTTAAGAATAGTGGTGGGGTGACAAAGAAGCCAATGATAATCCCAAAAGAGTTTTTTTTTTCGTTTTAGTTTCAACAAGCGGCGCCAGCGACTGGCAGGCATGCAAGGATTCACACTGAAATAACAGAACAACCTTCGTTTTTCATAAAATTGTAATTTACAATCCTTGAACTTGAAAACAATCCGAAGATTCATTGAAAATATCACTTACTGCGAAGCGCTCGGAGTTTACAGATGTTCAAAAGCTTTTTCTGTAACGGCGTGAGATTGAGGACAAAATCGAACATTAGTTTCG